TATACTTTTGGTTTGAAAATGTTTGGTTAAGTACCTAGAATTCAATAATTTGCTGTTTGTAGGTTTTAGATGTGTAGAAAGTGTTGTTTGAGCAAATGTTTGGTTTCTGCAGGTTAATCTCAGAAGTGAACTGCGTGAAAATGATGTATGGCTGCAAAAGTTGATTCAATAGTTTAATTGATTGTTTTTTGATTGTTTAATTGATTTGTAAAAGTTGATTCAATAGTAGATGATCGGAAATAAGAATTATTGCTTATTTTTTGATTGTTTAATTGATTTGTAAAAGATGATTTGTAAAAGTTGATTTGTGTAATTGATGCAAATATAATTCTTATTTGTGCTTGTTTAATTGATTGAAATGTAATGGTTGATTTTGTTGATTTCAATCTGCATTATGTTGAAGGCAAAATTGACTATCGCAATGCGAAATGAAAATCGCAATGCGAAATGAAAATCGCAACGAGAGAATCGCAATGCGAAATGAAAATCGCAATGCGAAATGAAAATCGCAACGAGAGAATCGCAATGCGATTTTAATTTCGCATTGCGATTCTCTCGTTGCGATTTTCATTTCGCATTGCGATTTTCATTTCGCATTGCGATTCTCTCGTTGCGATTTTCATTTCGCATTGCGATTTTCATTTCGCATTGCGATTCTCTCGTTGCGATTTTCATTTCCGCATTGCGAAATGTAATGGTTGATTTTGTTGATTTCAATCTGCATTATGTTGAAGGCAAAATTGACTATCGCAATGCGAAATGAAAATCGCAATGCGAAATGAAAATCGCAACGAGAGAATCGCAATGCGAAATGAAAATCGCAATGCGGAAATGAAAATCGCAACGAGAGAATCGCAATGCGATTTTCATTTCGCATTGCGATTCTCTCGTTGCGATTGTAATTTCCGTGTTGCGATAGTCAAATGCATGCCTAATAGTGATAACAACTGAATAACAAGAGTTGGTTAAGTCAAAATGGTTGGCCTGAGTCATTAATTCAACTGAAAATGTTAAAAGTTCACACATAAAATCCACATAATACAACGTTTGCATTTAAAAATCACCTAAGTTAACAGTCCCAAAAGGTGAAGCCAATTGTGATTGGGATTTTGAAGATGGTTGCCTTTTGCTTGACACCATATGAGCTTTGGATTTTGATGAGGATCCATATTTTGGTAGAGGAAAAGATGATTTTGATGGCACTGGTGATCCACATGTCAACCTTGTATGACCACTTTCCTTGCACCGACTACATGTCGATCTCTTCTTCTCTTCACCCTTAGACGGTATACGATCGTGACTTTTTGGTCGGCCAGGTAGCCTTCTGTCCATGGCTGGTGGCAAAACTGTTTGTAAGTCATCTGGTATGTCCCACTCAGAAGGATGTGGAATAGGGTAGACAATCTCGGCATAAGTCTGTCGATAAACTTCTGTAGTGTAGCAATCCATAGCGTATGCGCTTGAATCATCTTGGTTTAAATGAAGAGCAACTTTTATAACATGGCCACACGGATAACCAGATGTTTGCCATTTCATACAACTACACGTCTTTGCATTTAGATCGACTAGCCCATTTAAGTTATTATCCAGTACTTGAAACAAAGTGTTTGAACATGGTTCAACTCTCCATGACGTTGACTTCACAACACGTTTCGTTATCTTTTTTTCAGTCCATGATGTAACACGATGTTCCAATGTTCCTGTAAATTTAAATAAACAATACTTAGTAAAATATATAAATATGATAAGTTACGAATTCAAAGAAATAATACATGCATGGTTTCTTTTCTTGTAGTACCACTGTTGAATAGAGGCTCGAAAAAACTCCATTAACATAGTAATGGGTAATTTCCGGGAATGACGACTTAGAGCGTTGATTGATTCTGCACTATTAGACGTCATGAAACCATATCTTGCTCCAAGTTGATGTACTCTTGACCATCTTTCAAACCCGACATCTTCTAGTGTTTGAGCACACTGAGGCAAAACACGTCTTAAACAATTTATATGCTTATTGAAATCCACTTCCCGATAAGCTTTTACAGCCTTCCAGTATGTCCATTTGTGCTTTTTTATACCAGCAGACCTTGATTTTAGATTTCTATACAAATGAACACCACAAAGTCCATGAAAAGCATCTGGGAAACACCTTCTAACAGCGTTGTCAATTGAGTTTGCCCTATCGGATATGATTGTCAGATTGCTAATAGGACCTATGCAATCCCTAAGATGCCCCATAAACCATGTCCATGAATCAGAGGTTTCAGATTTGCCAACCCCGTAAGCTATTGGCAATATCCCATTGTTAGCATCCATGGCTACTGCTAATAAGTTTACTCCAAGGTATCGACCTTTCAAATGTGCTCCGTCAACTATAATAACTGAGCGCATGCAAGTAATAAACGAACGAATCTACAAAATAATATACACAAGAAATATAATCATTTAAATGTGAAATGCATGTAACTAACAAAAATGAGTCAACAAAATTATATTGATTTACTAACCGTAGCACCAATGGCGATAAACAGCAACTCAAAGCGTCCATCTCTATCTGTTTTGATATGAGTTACCGACCCAGGATTTTTCAGCTTTAAATTGTGACAATAAGCCGGCAGTTGGGCAAACGATGCTTCTGGCGACCCCCTCAACAATTCCAAGGCATAACATTTGGCTCTCCAAGCTTGAGAATATGATATACTAATCTTGAACCGAGCATTCATGTCAGTCATAATTTCATGTCCCCGATATACCCTGCCATTCAAAAACATTAACTCAGCCAGAAAACCACCCAACACCTTTTTGTTTGCCTGTCTATGGTGAGGAAAAACTTGGGTTCTTGAACATGTATGTTTATCAATAAAAGTCCTAACTTGAAACATTTTGCAATCTTTTATTCTCTTTGCAATCATACGCCACGTACAGTTTTTGTCAATCATACACCTTGTTTCGAAACGATCTTTGCTTGATTTGTTAACTTTTAGTTGATAGCCATCTTCCACACATTTCGTATACAAAGCTATCTTCAAGTCTTCCTTTGTATCAAAACAATCATCTTTCTTGACACGAATAACTTTTGTGTAACAATCAACTGCTTTCTTTGCCAACTCTTCTTCCGGTAACTGAAGTAATTCTGGCATATTCCAGTTATACTCCCGTGGCATTTTCTTTTCTTCGGGGACTTTTTCTTCTTCTTTTTCTTCTTCAGGATTATATGAATTACAGAATGGATGTTCAACATGTTCATTCACAGTCGTAACTTCCTCCTCATTATCATCAACAACATCTTCCTCGGCAACGGGTGTTTCATCATCAAAATTCGGGTATTGACCAATATTAAAATCATTACACACATGGTCTGTTTCTTCTTCTGAAACATCATCAAAATCCGTGTATTGACCAATATCAAAGTCCGGATATTGACCAAGACCAAATTTCGAATACTGACTAGTACTCACAATTTTTTCTGTTGGCTCATCATCGTCTAACTGGTCAATACGAAAACCGGAATTTGGTGCTGAAAGTTGATTGGGATTTGGATTAGAGAAAGGTTGTGGGTTTTGAGAAAAACTTAGTTGATTACTACCCGCTACTGACCCAACAATACTACTTCTAGGTTCAACAACATACAATGTAACATCATCTTGTGAAACACTAATGTAAGCAATGAATCGTTCAACATCTTCATTGTTGGTTAACAAATAAACTTTACCATTTCTCTGATAAGATAGCCTAAATCCACTTAGGGGCTCTAAATTCAATTTATTTGAAACACGTAGCATTAGAGTTTCATAAGTTAACTTTTGTAAAGACAATTTTAGTTGAAGATTCATGGGTAAAGGCATATATTGTAAAACACCATGAACATTATCCCATGACCCTCCAAAACACAAATCTATCCAAACATGATCAACATTAGATGATTTCATGGTTGTAAATTAATTTACTAAACAGACGAGCTGCGAAACTAAAACCTGTTGCCGGATTGGGAAGGATGTCGTTGGATATAGGAACGGATGTCGCCGGAGAGAGTGATAGATGGAGATGGAATGAGTTGCGATTTAGGGATTTAGTTTATGATTTCAGTGTTATATACCCAAAATTTCAGTGTTGTGATTTACAGATTCTCGTTGCGATTTACGGATTATCGTTGCGATTTACAGATTCTCGTTGCGATTTACGGATTATCGTTGCGATTTACAGATTCTCGTTGCGATTTACGGATTATCGTTGCGATTTACGGATACGCGTTGCGATATACGGATACGCATTGCGATTTACGGATACGCGTTGCGATATACGGATACACGTTGCGATTTATGTGTTCGCGTTGCGATTTTCATATTCGCGTTGCGATTTTGGAAAATCGCAATGCGAATTTGTACTATCGCATTGCGATTTTCAAGAATCGCGTTGCGATTTTGGAAACTGATTTGCGATTCTGGGGATCGCGTTGCGATTTTTATTTTGCGTTGCGATTTTGTTGGTCATTTTGGCAAATCCAAAAAAAGTTGGTTAAAATCGTATATTATAACTTTTTTTTGGTCACTGAGGCGATTTTCTCAAAAAAAAAAAAACCCCTAAGTTTCTACGTTAGAAATAGTATACCCTAAGAAGCTGCATGGGTTTGGGGTCCATTTTCAGTACCAAATTTATCACGTTTAAAACGATATAAATTTACTAATTACTAAGTACAGTCAACTTCGACGACATTTGACTTTCGTTTAAGGTTGATTTACATTTGAGGTGGGGGTTATTTTACCTTTGTTTTGTCCTCTTTTTATAATATAAATTCTATTCCAGCGAGGAATGGTTAATAGTTGCTAGTTATAATTGAAAATGGATTTTTTTTTGCAAATGCTTGGAACCTACCATGTATATCCACTATCCACGTAGATACATAGTCATACTTTATTTTGAACAGGTAGAGATAATCGGCATATATCTGACACAAACTGAAAGCCATCATAAAATTGCTTATGGAAATGGAATATGTCAAAACTCCAGCGACCCATCTCAAGTCTATAAATAGCAGCTCTTGCATTCCTCAATATTATAGCAATCACACACTCAACATATACATTACCATCTCACTGCTCTTTTTCCCTATCGCTCTTAGTCAAGGTCAAGGCCATCAAAGATACGATACAAACACCTCTTTCTCCCTTAAGTTATGGAGAAACAACTCCCCACCTACGGCGAAATCATCACCGTCCTCAGCATTGATGGAGGAGGGATTCGAGGGATCATACCTGGAACCATACTTGCCTTTCTCGAGGCTCAGCTTCAGGTAGAATATGCGATTGTATAAACACTACGTAGCTAGCTAGTTGGTATATTATATGTACACAAATGCTTTCTTTATATGTATTAATAAGACTTTGGATGTTTATAGAAACTGGATGGTGAAGAAGCGAGACTTGCTGACTATTTTGATATCATTGCTGGGACAAGCACCGGTGGCCTCGTGACTGCCATGATTACTGCCCCGAACCAGAAGAACCGTCCTCTTTATGCTGCAAAAGAAATAAAGGATTTTTATCTTGAACACGGTCCTAAAATTTTTCCTCAAGACACGTACGTAATAGTCATATGGTAGTAATATCGGAAAGCAAAACGGAAAACCCCCTAATCCCTTGTTATGTAATTTTATTAACGTGACTCTTTTGGTTGGTAATAACAGATCGCCACTTTCAGCAGCGGCAAGTTTGGTCAGAAGTATAACAGCACCGAAATATGACGGAAAATATCTGCATAAGCTCGTGAGAGAAAAGTTGGGACAAACACGATTGAACCAGACACTGTCTAACGTCGTGATCCCAACTTTCGACATCAAGCGGCTCCAGCCAAAAATCTTCTCCACTTACGAGGTTTAGTTGAAATCAAACAACTTGGAAATTAATGCAAAGCAAAGAAATTCAAAAGTTCATTTTTCTGAGTTGTTTCTCTGTCATTAGGTCAAGATTGACCCTTCCAAGGATGCTTTTCTCTCGGATATATGCATCGCAACCTCCGCAGCCCCAACTTACCTTCCCCCTCACTATTTTGAAACGCAAGATTCTAATGGTGTAGTAAAAGAATTCAATCTCATTGATGGTGGTGTTGCTGCAAATGATCCGGTATATATCAATATTAATATTGTATATAAAGTCATCTCTCATCACTCGATGGAGATTTGTGTCAAAAGTAATCCAACTAATGCGAAATCATGTTTATTACTTAATCCTTCCAGGCTTTAGTTGCACTAAGCGAAATGACCAAGGAAATCGTTCGTAGAGCCCCCGAATTCTTCCCAATAAAACCAACAGATTTTTCTCGGTTTGTTGTTATATCTTTGGGCACGGGTTCAGCAAAATCCGAAGGGAAATTTGAATCTAAGCATGCTGCCAAATGGGGAATTTTGGGATGGCTGACTGGTGAAAACTCTACTCCCTTGGTCGATGTTTTCACCCAAGCAAGCAGCGACATCGCTGAATATCACCTTGCTGCTGTTTTCCAAGCCCTTCAATCTGAAAACAGTTATCTCCGGATTCAGGTATATATATATCTATATAGTATATTTTGTCTACGTGTGTTTAGCTAGGGAAAAAACACTAGATGAACTCATGATTCTTTTGGGGGGGGGGGGGAATGCAGGACGATACGCTAACGGGTCCGCTTGCATCCGTGGATATTGCTACGAAAGAAAACTTGGAGAATCTGGTAAAAGTTGGGGAAGATTTGTTGAAAAAACCAGTTTCAATGACCAACTTGGAGACCGGTAATTTTGAGCCGTGTCATAACAAGGGAACAAATGAAGAGGCACTCGTCAGGTATTTACAATTTACTGCTATAATTTTTCCTACACCATGTTATCGCATTTTGATACTTAGCCTGTGCATGTATCTTACACTTTTCAGAATGGCTCAAGTGCTATCCAAGGAGAAACGGCTTCGTGACATGAAAGTACCGCGTGGAAGAACTAGCGCAAATTAAAAACATGAATTAAATTGTTAAACTCATCTTTTTTTTTAGTCAATTTCGAATAAATTTCAGGTCGATTAATCAGCCTTGAAAATGCAAATTGTTAAACTGATTTTTCTTTGAATAATAAATTTGCCTTCTCTTATACATCTGTAAATTGTACTTCTTTGAGACCCGTTGGGCCGGCTCAAAAAGCAGGACAGTCTACCAATGGAGTTGAGACATATTTCTCTTTGCTGTTTGGGCCTACATTGGGTCTCCACACAAACTTGTTCAAGAAAGAGGCCTTATATTAAACATAATCTGTCTCCACACAAGTCAACACCACTAATTCAGTGATTGTTTACACAAATAAATTTCATGAAAATATTCAATAATTGTTTACTGATTCTTTGAACCGCACATATCCGCAACTGTTGATGATTTCATGGAAGGCTTTTCAATGAATTTGGAAACGAGAATTACTACTGCATATGGCCAAGTCTTACTCTTTCCAACTGAAGCAGTTAACTATCAAATCTGTAATAGTTAGAATTAATTCTTGCAAACCAATGAGTTTTCTTGAATTTCAAATTTATGTCACAAACAACAGAGATAGGCAGGGATGGACCGAGGGGTTGGTGGGAGCAATTTTTTCTATGTATTTTCTATTGAAAATATGTTTTTCAAATTTTAGTTCGTCTTTCTAAACTCTTACGGCAGTCCTAGGAGATTGGGAAAGACTCTGGATTTTGCTTCCCATGAAGGCTAATGGCCGAAACATTCAACGAGTGCAAGTCTATAAACACCCATGGCTTGCATTGCTTCCAAAGCATATCAAACAAATTAATTAAGCTTTTAGACGTCTATCGAACTCAATTGCTTAATCCAAGACCCTCAAACCTACTCATCATAATGGGAAGACAGTTTTGGGGTAATGGGGTTGCAAGCCCCAAATCACCCCTTCAAGCTCCCACCTATGGGAACTTAATCACAGTTCTCAGTATTGATGGAGGTGGAATTAGGGGGATTATTCCCGGAACCATTCTTGCCTTTTTGGAGGCCGAGCTTCAGGTAACTAGAACATTGTTCTGATTCATAGAATACGTCAGCCATATTCAATGTTTTTAAATTTTTTGATGACTCCCTTGTATTCTGATATCATCATGTATGGCTCTTTACAGAAGCTGGATGGTGAGGAAGCTAGACTGGCAGATTATTTTGATGTCATTACTAGGACTAGTACCGGTGGCCTCGACTTGCACAATGCTACTGTTTTCAAAGCACTTAAATCTGGAAAAAAAAATTATCACCGTATTCAGGATGATACACTAAGTGGAACAGTGACATCTGTCGATATTGCTACAAAACAAAACTTGGAGGATCTTGTAAAAGTTGGGAGAATTCGGAGACTGGCGTATTTGAGCCTATTAACCAGAGTACAAATGAGGAGGCGCTCGTCAGGTATTTCATTTTTTTATTATCAATCAAAACAAATTTTACTAATAAAGTTTTATACCGAATGACAATCTTATACATTGCCAACATGTATCACCTTCTTTGAGTTCGACCCTACGTTTATATACCCAGCAATTTACGTATATGATGCTAACTTTGATTATTTGTACTTGCAGGTTAGCTGAAAAGCTATATAATGAGAAGCGACAACGTGACATGAAATCACCACTCGGAAAGCAGCTGGCCGCAAAGAAGAAGTGATCCATGTTCTTTGAATGATGAGCATACATACGAGATAGCATATTGTCGCAATTAATTTGTAAACCATTAATTCATTATTCAATTTATGGTATATTTCTCATACACATTAACGCCATCTCTTATTTTTCTAGCATTAACCTGATATCTTACTTTTCTAACATTTTTTTAAATGTTTATTTTTCCATTTTTCTAATATTTTAGAATTTAATTAATCTCAAAAGAGTTGTATATGCCTAATAATTCAATCATACAGAATAAAAAACACGATAATATGATGTTATAAATAAATTAAATTGAACTGAATAGGGAGGATCATCCTAATCTAATTTTAGATAAAAAATTAAACTAAGTTTCACTTGATAAATATATATTTCCATGAAATGTAATTCGATTTTTTTTCCTGACACAAAAGAAAAGCATTCATCGTTATCAAATAATTAAAGATTACTTTCGTATAATATAGTGCACACAAATTACAATTGAAACGAATATGTTGTATCATATACTCCAAATAACTTGGCTTCCCATTTGGAAGCGGCCTGCCAGCAAAATTAATGATATCAAAACCTTTGACTAGGAACTTGTCAAACTCTATTTATATGGAATCATTGGGGTGTCAAACATGCACTTGCGTGTAGTATTAGCTGAGCATTAACATTAAACACTTGAATGATGTTTAGCCCATCTAATCTAAACAACTATGACATTTGACATTATATCTTTTTATCTTCACTACTGCCTAATTTTAACAATTACAATTAATGATGTTACAAAAGGAATCAGCGACTAACTGACCCATTACTTGACACAAAATCAGGTTTCCCATTTGGTCTAATAACAAACTGGTCAATCACCCTGACAGTATTCACTGGATCCTGTTGACCCGCTGCTGCACTCCACTTGCTAGGGTGTTTTCTTCCATGGCTCAACTGTTGTGGCTGTTTGGCCTCCCCGTCCCAATCAGGGTCTATCTTCCATTCCCTGGGAACCTGCATGCCAAAGGGGCTAATGTTCATCTCCTATAAAAACCTCAAAAGATGAAGAAAAACCGAATAAATGGATAGCAGCAAGTGTATAATTATCAGTTTCTTACCTTATCTACCGCAAGAGTGAAAACTTCAAGATCACCGTCACTATTGATGTGGAACCGTGTGAATGACTTGTAATTAGCAATTCTAAGAGAGGAGAAGGCCTCGTCAAAGTGCAGATGAAACCAGTTAATGGAGAAATATAAGTAGCTCCCGAACACCAAAGAAACCACCGGGGTTGACAAAACCCAGAAGTAGAGGAAGACTGACGCATAATATATGACCGCACCTCCTCGGGAAAGCGACTGTATTCCATTCTTGCAAATATTGCTCCGGGTGACAGCCATAACCTGGCAATGCTTACTCCGATTCATCAATATTATAGTTCACCAGTGACAAGGTACCCATATCTCCCAAACAAGGAAAGGTTCCTTACCTCGGGAACATCAAATGCAGACATGAGATACTTGATACATGCTGGATAGAGGCCAAATGTCCATTGCTCCATACGCGCTCGAAGTCCACTGGGATCTGGAAAATGCTCACTTTCCACTGTTCGATACCACTGATACAAAGTGTGATAACCTGAACACAGTAATAAATCGTCATTTAGTTCCACTAAAAGGACCACCTTAAGGCAGGCATCAGCCAAGTTACTTTTATGTGTATTATTCTTGCCGAGCTATTTGATTTATTTCAACTCAGAAAATAAAAGAACATAAACTAGTAAATATGGATTCAAATTATAGGTACCACCTGAAAGTAAAAAATCTAAAATTGGGTTGGATATAATTGAAACTTTTTAATTCTCCTTCAAGAATATTAAAGACGACAAGAAAATGGTAGTTCTAAGTATCCTCTCTTCATGATGTTTAGAACAAATTTAAATTTCTTGTCGCAGATTATAGTATGAACCTTCAGACTTGAGGTGATCGCAGCAATAATACTAATGATCCATTGCAGAAAATATAACTAGAATATAACTCACCTGAAGTTGCTAATAGTTTATGCCGAACACAAGTCTCCAGACCTAGTTCCATGAGCAGCATAAGAATAAGGGCCGCTGCTAGATGTGCTAATACATGAACTACTCCAATCATTGCACGTCTCTTCCGTGATAATTTGGAAGGAACAAATGCAATTGCCATGATCAGCAATAGCACCACACCAGTTAATGATACAAAAGAATGTTCCAGCACGTACACAAAATTATTCCATACTGTGCCAAAGAAACTCCCTAGATGACCCGAAAATGAATCACGTTGCAATATGTGATCAAGCTTACACTAAAAGAAGAGAAAAAGATAAGTTTCAGTAACGTAGTTAGCCTGCCTAAAAAGAGTCAAACAATATCAAAACATGTAAGCATTCCAACTGAAAGTTCAATAGAGAGAAGGGGGATCCTGATAATTAGGCCCTTTAAGGTCCAATGGCAGCTGACAGTAGAATAACCAAGTTGTACTTAACCAATTTCAAAGATCTTAGAAGAATTTTACCTGTGGAAACGTAGAGAAAACCAATATAAAGTATATAACGCCACCAATGAAATCAAACTGCCAGTTCTTCTTCCGAAACTTCAAGATATTTCCTAATGCAATCTGTGCATAAATAACAACCCCAATCAGAATGAGAAGTCGGGAAACAAGAGAAATGGAACCTAAGGTGCATTAAAGAATAGGAATAATACCCTGCTTGAGTCATCAAAAGAAGGGTAAGCAGCTTTACACTCATATGTTCTCCCATAGAATTGATTAAAATTACTAAACACATGAGTGGGGTGTAAAAATGCTCCTCCACACCCATTTACAAGAAGATGTTGCACATTAACTGGACCTTCTGATGGAACACATGAATGGCGCATATAGTGATGCATGTCTCCAGCAATTCGTAGTTTACACCTTTCTTTTAGGTAATCACATATAAGGTGAGAGACATTCTGTCCGGAAATATCATCCCAGTACCAATCAAGAAGCCACTGTGGTTCATGCGTCATAATAATCACAGTGTCATTTTCTCCAACCTGGAAAGGGTAAATGGAGGAGATGAAATTAATTTCATCCAGCATTAAGATTTCAACCAAAACTATATGAGATGATAATAAAAAAAAATCTATAAGAGATAAGCAGACAAAGCTAAGCCTCGGAACAGCCAATTGATAATTGTGTCAGACTGAAAACATCTACATATGCAGACTTCCTAAGGTATGCACTAGTAGTGAGGAACCGAAATTTATGCTCCAATCAATACATATGATATTGAATTATTGATCAATATGTATGTGCATCTAGGGCAGAATGCTTTAGGCATCAAATGCTGGATGGGACACTCAGGTAACATGCACCAGTGTTTTCTGAATGTGGATTATCAGGAATGCACTGATGAAAGGAAGACAATATGACATAAAAAAAATAGACTGGTCTTCATTAAGTTACAAACGTCCCCTCCTTTCTCATCAAATACAATTCAAAATGTAAGATCATAGCAAGCATAACAGAAAAGGATAGCTCAAGTAAATGATACCTTGTTCTCTACTAATTCTGAAAAGAACTTGAACTGGTACACATCAATGTCATTATGTAGTGATAAGTCAAGACCAAATACCCACCATCGTTTCGGCAGCTGCAAAGCAAAATAACTCTTCTTTTGGGGCATAAACCACCCACCCAACCAGCTCTTGTGGCATATATACCTCATAAATGTATTAAGTCCATCAAACCAATCTGTAAGATACAGAAAACTTCATACTTGAACTTTTAAGTAGAAACAAGAGTAGCAAGAAAAAAGATTCTACTACGGAAATGTGATCATTTTCGGACGAGGAGAAAATTGCAGCAATATATACTTGAAAATAGCAGTATATGTTCCTTTGAAATTTTCTTTACAAAAATCATTCAAGAATAAATTGTGGCTAGAAAGTAAGACCTACCATGGTTTCCAGGAATAAGAAAACACTGAGGTCCATCATATTCCTTGAGTTCAGATACCCCTTCCGGTAACTCAGGCTTGTTTACAGCAATATGTTCATGTTTGTACCAAGCCGGAGGCTGAAGAGCATACTCGAAAGGAGAAAAGAGACGCTTTTCATATGTGAATCCTGATGGATTAGGATACCTACAGATCAACCACAAGTTTTGAGACTTAACCCGTGAATATGAAGTGCTAGTTTATGGTCAAATCATCAACCAAACATTTAAAGAGCTACAGCAGATGCTCAAGCTTCATTCATAATATCAATATGAAAATTTTGATTTTGTTGACCCAAGCTACAAATTGCACACAGGTGACAGGACATAACATCTACTTACGCAAGATCTCCTCCAATAAGTAGGAGGCCTCCACGAGGCAGCGTAAGCACAGAATCCTCACTAGATAGCTGAATGGACGGTTGAGCAAGCAGCCGTGCTACAGTATACGATGAGTTTCCACCATCACCAGTATCAGCCATGAAATCAAACCATAAATCTTCCTTTTCGCTCAAATGATCATAAAAAAGATCATCTTGCTGAGTTCCTTCATGAACCTTGCTCATTGCAGCCTGGCAGAGGCAGAAAGAAAAATATGGAAAGTCAATCCTTGATGGAATATTTATCTAGAGATTTTTCATTACAAAAAAAAAATGAAAAGTACACTAATGTATATGCAAACCAAATTTTAGAACTATAGTCTATACCTGCATCATTCGCATGTCAAACCGGCCAACAAACAGAGTCACTGATACTAGAAGGTCAAAAGCAGTCTTAAACAAGTCAGCTGATGTTCTACAAAATTAGGGATAAGCATTCTTAACGTCAAAAGATTGGAATTTCACTCCCACCACATTTTTTTTGGGGGGGTTTAAAGAACATGGCATATTAAAGATAGAGTCATAGAGACTTACCCTGAATACCAAGGAACCATATCCAAGAAATCAGGTTTCATTTGATTCTTTTTCCGGTTCTCATATTCCTCAACAGACAAAGGATGGGTAAGGGCCCACCTGGATTTGATATAGGACATGCAGCGATAGATGAGGATGAAGAATAAGAAAGAAGGCACAAAGAAGCAATAGTAGCTCAATCCTATAAAAGATAGAATCTTAGGCCCAGAAACAGATAAGTGTCATCTACATAATGGATATGATATAGAAGCTGGGAAATGGTACTCCACAAAAATGTGCATTTAAGGTGCTACAGCAATGAGAATGAACCTCAACGCAAGAATATAGAGCAATCCGAACAGAGGATCCCATGAAAGATATATTATAATTCTCATTCAACATGCAACAACACAAATATTCCACACATTTCAAGACAAGGTAAATGCCACTACTCACCCTGTTGACCTTTCCACTACATAATTGGCCATGTAAAGGCCAATAAATGTAGCCCACAGTGAAAATATGGGAGAAATTTCATCTGAAGAACCTGGACATGAACCATTGCAAGCTAACTGAAAATGAAATGTAGGAGAAAAATGTGGTAAGGAATAAAAAGAACAAAGCACGCAAAATATTCACATAGGATGATAGGAATGATATAAAGTTTGAAGTGGATCAGCGGCTTACCTCACCATAAATGACCCACTTGGATAAAAGTGGATAATCGCTCGCAGAGCCAACTGGAGCAAACCAAGATGAGCACACCTGGTTTTTCAACTCATTCATACGAACAAATTTTGCTAACCATGTGTTTCTCTCTTCTTTCTTCCAAAAGGAAAACCAATTAGAAGTTTTCCGTTCAAAAGGTCTCTCCCTTAACATAGCACGGTTGCCACAATGACTATAGAATACACAGCAAGCTATACTAATAACCTACAAAGGCAAAGAGTAAAAAAAATAACCAGGAGGACCAGCATCTGCATAGAAGCTAAAACCTGCATTGCAAATAAGAAATCATCAATTTTATCTTCAACACTTACAGCACAATTCTGGAGAATGGTCAACATTGCTGGTCGCCTTCCGGCCACACGGGAAACAAGACCAAGATACCATAGGCCAATGAATATAATGTGGAAAACAAGGAGAAAGAGAATCGAAGAGATATATATTGACAAAAACAAAGACAAATTCATCCTCAAATCCACTCCCATTGACTGAAAACTAGGAAGATGATACAAAGCTGCAACTAAAATCCACGCTATGTACCTGCAAATTCAAGTTATAAAATCACAAATAAGTCGTGTCTTGTTTAAAATGCATTTAAGTCGAAGCAAATGACAATATAAACCAATCAAGTCATCATATTAAAACACTCACCATCTACTGAAATTTGAATAACTTGGTTTAATTGTCTTCCCTATAAATGGAGATGAAAAGAAATAAAAGAACCCAAGCAAACAGGCATACATAGACCACCATTTGATATTCTTATCCAACTTTTCTATCAAAGTATGCATGTTATCTGATGAGATAAAGAACAGACAACCCACAGCTACTGCAATTATGGCATGACGGGAATGTTCATGAGGGTAAGGGTATTTATGAGTTAAAATCGTCCGAACCCTCTCCATTCTGAGGGTAGGTAATAATCCAGCCGAGTGCTTATCAGAACCCATTGCTCAAAAAATAATAACTCTTCTGCTAGCTTCTCCAATTTTGCTTGAATTGTCTTAAAAATCGCCCCCTAAGAGCTTAACTTCACCTGCATGGACAAGTCAAAAAAAGCAGCAGACGGATCAGCTCCAAGAAAGAACATTAGAATTAAATCAGATAAAACTAATTTATAATTCGATAAGATCAAGTAAAGTTCTCCAGTCTAGCTAAAATGGTCTATTAAAAAATAACCATGAATAGAACATAACCCATAGGCAAAATTCACATCACTTCTCAGTTGAACCGTAAATTATCACTTCATCATTAAATAATTAATAAAAACATAGAACCAACATTAAAATTGTACTTGCCTAATGATTTCCTTGATTTTCCCCTCAACAATCAAACAGGCAACAAGAGTTTCGAAACAAATTTATGCTAAAAAGGTGCTAAAATAACCATAACCGCCGTAAAGCAAAAAAATCATAATTAGAAGACTTTAAAAAGTAACGGAATCATTAGATAGGTAGCAGACAAAAAAACAGGTAAATGTAACAGAACGCCCATAGAAACATACGGCTTTGATAAACCCGGGGAAACATTAAAAAAAATAATCAACAAATTTCGTGAGATAGAGAGTACCTGGATACGGAAATAGAAAGTTTGCATGTGGAAGCAGTGGAAAAAGAAAGGGGATACGCAAGGCTTGAAAGAATATATTTGTAGATTTAGAAAGGGAAAAAACGATAGCATCTGAAAGTAGGCATATTCTCTTTTGCCGAGCTTTCCTAGTGTTTTCTTTCCCTTCTCTCTTACGAAAATTAATTGACTTCCGTGTTTTAAGAAAGAACAAAAAACCGCGGTTTAAAAAAGTTTTTTCAAGCAACGATGGCCGTTCGATTTGATGAAGACGGTGGAGTTTGCTTGAACGTTAGTGAGTTGTAATCAGACACGTGGATGTTGTGCTGGATTTTGTGAAAGAAAGAAAGTGGATGAACAACTGACGTGTCAATTTGTCGAATGTAAAAAGAATGATACTAAAAGACTCAGGACGTGAGAACAAGATTCTATCTGTCACTGATTTTGTTTTTCATTTAGGGTCTGTTTATTTTATTGTAATTGAATTTTTGAAAAATAAATTTTAAAAAAGTATTTTTTAGTGTTTAAATGATATTGTATAATTCATTTTTCGTGTTTGGTAATTTGTATTAAAACTAATTTTTAATTTTTTTTTAATGAAATAAACATATATTATAATTATTTAATCAAATATTTATTATTTAGTTAGTTTTTATAAAATTATTTTTACAAAATTATATATATATATTATAATATTTCATTTTTACAAGTGAATCAAATTAAAATAAAATATCACTCATTATTTTATTCAATGATTCTTATTCAATGACATTTTTAACGTTATTTTTTATAATTTAACTTACAATTAATTTTTTTATACTTAGAATTCAATTGATTTAATCTTTTAAAATATGTTTCCATAAAAATATATTTTTATACCTAAATTGAAAAGGAACAAATGTAAATACAATATTATATAACATTAAACAACGATATTTAATTATATAATTAGTACTACACTACATAAACACAATAACAATGTTCATGTGCATAATTAGTACCATACTATATCTAAACAATAATATTACCCAAGTACATAATTAGTGGTGCATCATAATAAGAAGATAGTATCCAACTACATAGTTAATGGTACAACACATTTATTCATCTTAGTATATAATTAGTAGTACAACACATTTAACCGACAATATTGTAAGAGTACATATTTAATACTAAAACAAACTAAAACAACAACATTATCTAAGTGCATAATAATTAAACATCACATTAAAGCACAAAATCTTAACCTTTGGCAAACTTTTGAAGCCAAATTTTTCTACGCTTCATTATTTTAACTTAGAAAGCTTTGGCCTTGAACTCATTCTTTGCAAGAAAATCAAACACATTGCAAAGAAATTCATCGTCAAATCCCTCATTTTCCATTGACATCACTTCTTCATAAAGATATGTGTGTTATCCTCAGTAAATTTTTTGTAATGTTTCAACGTTTTTAACAAGTTTCTCACCTACAAATTGAATCTGATCATCCTCGACATTTTTTTGGATAGATTTCCTTTAACGTTTTGATGTACCATATGAAGATATATTTGATCTTTCCTCATTGACATATTCAATATCGAAGTTAAACGACATTGGAATTTCATTAGTATCATATAAGTCTATATCGACAAATATTTTAACAAAGCTTCTTGTTGTCATATCTTGGTCGACAACCAAAATCATCTCATCATAAGAATCATTTTTATTCAAAAATTGTGAATACTTCGGTTGTGCATGTTAGATTTACACAAAAATAGTAGAATGAATATTTCATCAAACTATAAATAAGAAAAATAGACCACCCAAATATGCAAAACTTGGGTCAATTCATATGCCAATTTTTTTCATATTCTCAAATATATTTATATCTCTATCAATTTATCAGATGAGATACTATGATAATCTTACAGAAAAAAATTATGCAAAGAATAGACATTCTCATTCCTATACCCTATGTCATAGTTATTACTAACTAATAGAACCAAGACAATCATGATTCTTATTTCCTACAATTCAAATAATATAATGGATAGAAAAAAAAGTTTAAGGCTATGAAAATTTCATCATCAATGACAACGTCGTATGATAAGAATTATGAAACAAAATAGAACACATTTTATATTTAAATCTTTCATATATTTTCATTAAAGAAACAAAAAAAACTAAGATGAAAAAAATCTGAAATGATACTGTTCTTGTGTTCATATAGTTGAAGTGGGGACTTTTGAAGATTACTACCAAAAAACAAAGTAAAGTAAATAAATTAAAATAAAAGTATATAAAGATTATCATCACTGCGGCATCATACATCACCCTATCACATGTTATCATTTTCATGTTTTCGTCCCATCCTAATCCACTTTCTTCATGAATTTTACAAATAATTTTCCATGTGTTCTTGATTGTGCGCAAATGATTTTCCACATGTTTAGTGTCACACTTAACATGAAAATTTTCGGAGACAGTTGCAAATACTCGTTTTATGGAAGCTGCTCTAAATGTATTAGATGGCTTATTTCCTTTTTGAGCCTCCTCTGCTAGGGCCGGGTTTGGGTCGGGTATTGGCCTCCCGTCCCCATTTAAAAAACACATACCCGTCCCCGCTTAAAAAATCACGGGGATTTAAACGGGGATCCCCATCGGGTAATTGGGGAAAACCGCGGGGAAACGGGTATCCCCGTTTAGCATAAACGGGTATTGGGACGGGTATCGGGCCGGGTATATATATATATTTAAATTAAATATATAAATAGTATATATATATATTAATTTAAATTAAATTTATTATTATTATTATTATATATATAAAATAATTATTTTTAATATTTATCGGGACGGGTATCGGGCTGGGTATCGGGTCGGGTAATCGGGGCGAGGATTACCAAACCCATCCCTGTTTAGCATAAACAGTTTTTCCCCATCCCCGTTTAATTCGGTTTTCGATTTTTCCAGTCGGGTTCGGATTTTTTGCCATCCTTAACCTCTGCCAATATTTCTAGAAAAAGATTTTCCATTGGTTTTGTTCATCTAAAATGTTTTGATGTGCTTCCTTCCTTACTTGATTTAGGATTACTCAATGCTAAACAAGGCATACAAAACCAAAATAATTATATAAGTAAAAAGAATTCAAAACTCAAGATAATAGGAATTAATATATCCAAAAAAGTAAAGTTTCCAACAAACTTAACAATACATAAATCAATATTCAAAACAATGTGCAATATCCAAAAAGATAAAAGTCAAATACCATAATATTTTCAATATCCAACAAACTAAAGAATATCACAATTTCATTGTTCATCATACATAATATATAATACTCAACGAAATTGCAATTTTATCTCTCTTAGTAGCCCATTCTCTAGCTTCTTTCCTCTTTTCTCGTTGCGTAAAGTTGTTATTGTCAAATTAGACTCCACTTCCTCATATAACCCTTCATTAATTAAATTATTAGGATCAACTCCCATTATATGATTCCATGGATGATACAACAAGCTCATCCTATATCTGTAACATCCGCAATACCGGGTTAGTGACCAAATTGTAAAGTTTCATAATTTGGTGACTAAAGTATAAGAATGAAATAGTTCAATTATTATTGGATATATATGATGAAGGTTATTTAGTAATTATTAAAGGAAATAAAGGGCAAAAGGGTCAATTGACCAAGAAATGAATTAAAAATGGGATTATAAATGCACGTGGAAAGGGAGAGAATTCTCCAGAGTTCTCTTCTCCTTTCTTCTTCTTCTTCACGTGGAAGCCAAGAGCCAAAGGTAAGTTTCTTTGTTTATAATTGAATTGTTGATTTTAAGGTTGAATTTTAATTATTAGATGATAACTAAGCTTAAGGAAAGCTTAAATCATCTTAAAAGCAAAGGATGGTGGAGTTAGGAGAGATTAAAGATTTAGAGTTTACAAATGAAATCTTGGAATAAAGTTCATTTCTTAAATTGGAAGTTAAATTTGACTTGTCAATGGTTAAATTAAGAGATTTGGAGTGATAGAATTAGATTTAGAACATATAGAAAATTTGGTATGATTATTGAATTACATATGGAAGATAGGATTTTGAGGTTTAAGATGAAATAAATGAATATAGATTGGTTTAAGTATGTGTACTAGAGTTAAGAATGAAAAAGGGGATGATATATGAAGTGTTTGAGAGGAAATGAAGTAATTTTCGTGCTGAAAATGATTTATGGGTTAGGGGGAATCGGTACCCATTCAAAGGGGTACCAATACCCTCTCAAACGAACATGGAATTCCAGAATGCTAGAGAGGAACCGATACCCCCACAGGAGGGAACCGATTCCCCCCTAAAGGAAAAATGTGAATATTGGTTTAATAAGTTCGTTTAAGTTACTAGTATCCAACTACAAGGTGTAGGTATCTAATGATTGCCTCAAAATGTACATTTATGTAGATTCTATGCATAAAGCAATTCCGGAACATTTGGCAAGTAAGATCGATCAAGGGAAATATAAGAGATTGGAATTGACTAGTGAGGCCAAGGTGAGTGCATACTAGTGATATGCAGTGTTTAATGGAAATAAGACTTGCGATGAGTCTATTTCCTAGAGTAATATGCATGAAGTCATGGATATGATTATGTGTGGTTATAATTATATGTGATTATCTGTATTACATTGATTGTATGTATGCATGACTAAAGATAATGATATGCTTTGTATATGCTATATGATTTATGTAAGACTTTATTATGTAATAATGGAAGAACATGGAATAAGTTATATGATAGAGTCATAAGAAATGAAATGAACATGAGAGAATAAGATAATCAAGTATAAGTTATATGATATGGTATAAGTGATTATACGAGAAATGTTAGGAGACTCTAAGAGAATAGTATGAATTCGAGGGCATAAATAAGGATACATAAGTTATATAGGGAAGATTGATAAATTAAAGGAAACTATGGTTTATGTATTATAGTGAAGAGCTAAAAAGTTTTATTAAAGAGTATTGTGGAAGTCATGAGAAATTGAACTAAATAAATAGATGGTTTATGTGAGTGGAAAAGGAAAATGATATAAAATAAGTGGAAATTATTTATAAGATAGCATGAGACTAATTGAACATGTAATATAAACTTTATAAAGGAGTACTTGGGTAAAATCATTATATGATACAATTATAGAGTATTACTATA